TTATATTATATATATATATAAAAATATATATATATATATTTATATATATATATATATATATATATTATAATATATATATATATATATATATATATATATATATATATATATATATATATATATATATATATATATATATATATATATATATATATATATATATATATATATATATATATATATATATATATATATATATATATATATATATATATATATATATATATATATATATATATATATATATATATATATATATATATATATATATATATATATATATATATATATATATATATATATATATATATATATATATATATATATATATATATATATATATATATATATATATATATATATATATATATATATATATATATATATATATATATATATATATATATATATATATATATATATATATATATATATATATATATATATATATATATATATATATATATATATATATATATATATATATATATATATATATATATATATATATATATATATATATATATATATATATATATATATATATATATATATATATATATATATATATATATATATATATATATATATATATATATATATATATATATATATATATATATATATATATATATATATATATATATATATATATATATATATATATATATATATATATATATATATATATATATATATATAAATCTGGTACTGTACATTTTAAATGTCACAGTATTTGCTAGACTCTGTCTTTCTGCTAGAAGCAAACTACAACACACATAGATGAGTTATTTTCTCTTCAGTATAATACGACTGATTTCTGTACACAGATGCAAAATAAGAACATCTAATCTGTTATTAACCTTGCCAACAATTAGCGATTTAACAGTTGAGAATGGATAAAAATGTATGCACGTATGTACTGTCCTCTCCGACATAAAATAAAGATAAAGAGCCAGAGGAGGAGTCTGAGAGTCTGACAGATATAAAGAGAGTTTGAGCCCGGCTGAAAAACACCAGCGCTGAGGTACTGCTTTATTCCTCACTGAGCTTCACACATTTACACCAGACCTCAGATTAACCTGTTCATCACTCTCTTCTAGGAGAACAGAGCTCTGCTGTGACCTGCTGTGGAGCGACTGAGAAGATGGCAGTAAGTGATCCCGCATCCTTCATACACTCTTTCATATCGCCATCATTATTCTGGACTGATGTTCATTTCTGCTCTCTCTGTCTCATGTAGCTGATCTGGATGTTGGCAGCGCTTCTCTCTGTTGCTTCGGCCTTCAGAGACAGCCATCCGGATTACAGATCCAGGCCATGTGACTGTTCTGACCTCCACAGATCAGGAGAAAGGTCCAGTAGGACTCACACCGTTTACATCGACGACAGTCCCATCAATGTTGACTGTCACATGATATCAGAAGGGAGAGAGGATGAGCACGGAGGATGGACGGTACGAGTGTGACTTTAGACAATCAAACACTTCTGTATAATATACTAATATGTTGAATATAAACCCATCACAGGTGATTCAGAAGAGGATGGACGGCAGTCTGAACTTCTATCGGCCGTGGAAAGAGTACAAGAGAGGATTCGGGACTCCCGAGGGCGAACACTGGCTGGGTGAGATCTTACGCTGCTCTGTGTAGATGCTCATGTGATGTGTTTGTTTAACATGTGTGTGTGTGTGTGTGTGTGAACAGGGCTGGAGAACATCCACCGCATAACACGCAACAAGAAGTACATGCTGAGAGTGGATATAGAGGACTTCGGTGGAAGGAAAGGTTGTGCTCATTACTCGTCCTTCTCTGTGGATTGTGAGGAAGACGGCTATAAACTGCACGTTTCCGGATTCAGGGATGGCGGAGCAGGTACGACACTTTCATTAAAACCCCTGATATCTCACTGTGTATTGAGTCCTCATCGATGTTCCTCCTCTGTGCAGGCGACTCTCTGTCTTCCCACAACAATCAGAAGTTCTCCACCTTTGACAAAGACCAGGACGACTACAAAAAGAACTGCGCCAGAGAGTTTCTCGGGGGATTCTGGTATAAAAAGTGTCACCATGCAAACCCCAACGGTGTGTACTTATGGGGTCACGATCGCACCCACTACGCTATCGGTGTGTGTTGGTGGAGCTGGGATCACAACTACTACAACAGCTTGAAATACATCTCCATGAAGATCAAACGCATATACTAGAAACATGCAATGTATACAGGGGCACACACATTACGCTAATTACTCTGTCTGTAATGCTTAAGGCTGAGCACTTCCAGTGTGTGTGTGTGTGTGTGTGTGTGAACACATGCCCTTGGCACAGATGCACAGTGAAGGTTTGACCTCTGTAAAGTCTCTGCTCTCTCTCCAGAAGTTATAACATATTGACTTTCCTGTGTTTAACTCTTCCACAAGCTGTTCAATGACCGTGATTTGTCTTTGTTTAAGTCAGTTTTTACTATCCAAATGATAATAAACTCAATAAACTGCAGATTAAAAGCCATGTGTATGCTTGCAGATGTGTTTATTTCCACTACAGAAACACTAAATGATGAATAATCACACACATATATGCATAAACTGACTATAAGTGTTCTGCTCATCTGGTATAAAGATGCATTATTAGTGTTAAATATTTTCCACACACACACACACACACACACTGGAGTGGGGAAGTTTGGTGAACTCTGACCTACATGTTAATATTATATGTCAAATAAAAGAATGCATAATGCACACAGCTCATTACCTTCCCTAAAAACTGTTTAACAGCTGAATAATTAGATTATTTGCTAAAATCGCTAGTCAAAGCCTCTTGTTTTGTTTTTAAACAGGTTGTTTTTGACAGTAATGTCTCAGGTGGGGATGGTCCCATAGACTCTTTCTACATATTGATATTATTACAGATCTGATTTTATTATACACGGCAAACATGCTTTTCTTTCAAGTGCAAGTTCAAGTTCTATTTATTTATATAGCACGTTTCCAACTGCCACAAGGCTGCACAAAGAGCTTTACAGAGAAAATAAACACGTGATATGAGAATATAACAGTAAAAACAGCAATAGACACATAATACACTGAAACAAATTATTCAAAGATGATTCCTTGAATTTACAATTTCTTTATGTTAAGTGGTTGTAAACAATTTATTTGTGTTGAATTTAAACAAACAAACTAAGTTGAACATTATTAAACTTAATTTGTTTGTTTAAATTCAACACAAATAAATTGTTTACAACAGTTCTGCATGCAACACTGTTTACACTGCAAAAAATGCTTTTCTTACTTAGATTTTTTGTCTTGTTTCTAGTCCAAATATCTGAAAAAATCCTTAATCAAGAAGAGTTTTCTACACAAGCACAACATATTGTCTTGTTTTAAGAAATAATGTGCCAATATTAAGTGAGTTTTTTCCTTAAAACAAGCAAAATAATCTGCCAATGGGGTAAGCAAAATAATTTAACGTCAAAAGAAAAAACTAGATTAATTTGCTCACCCCATTGGCAGATTATTTTGCTTGTTTTAAGGAAAAACTCACTTAATATTGGCACATTATTTCTCAAAACAAGACAGTATGTTTTGCTTGTCAAGAAAATTCTTTTTGATGTAAGAAATTTTAGATATTTAGACTAGAAACAAGACAAAAAAATCTAAACAAGAAAAGCATTTTTTTTTGTAGTGTAGGAAGGAACATAAAAAGATTATCAATAAAAGAGCAAAATAAAAAATAAACAATAAATAAAAAATAATAATAATAAAATATATATTTTTTCTAATTAAAAGATGAACATGACCGTTTTGATCCCCCTCCCTTTGCTTTTCTCTCTTAGATTTTATTCTTGTTTCTAGTCCAAATATCTAAAAATCCTTTTATCAAGAAGCATTTTCTAGGTAGGAAAAACACGCTGTCTTGTTTTGAGAAATAATACGCCAAATAAACTTGCTTTTTCTTTTGACATACGATTGTTTTAATACCCATTTGGCAGATTATTTTGCTTGTTTTAAGGAAAAACTCTTTTAATATTGGCATATTATTTCTCAATACTACACAATATGTTTTACTTACCTAGAAAATGCTTCTTGATCAAAGGATTTTTAGATATTTGGACTAGAAACAAGACTAAAAATCTCAGTAAGAAAAGCATTTTTTGCAGTGCAGAACCAATCTCCAACCATATCTGAATGTGGGATGATTTAGGCCATTTATTTAGACTTTTGTACGTTTTTAGAAACTAATAAGGATGTTTAATATGCTGTAAAAGGCGTTGGTGAAGTTAATGGTTTTCTCTAATCATGAGCATAGCAGTTTAATTGTAATTTACATGTTTAACTGATGTTATTTAATGCTCAAACTGTTGTAAATACACATGTGCTTTTGTGTTTTCGTCTTACATGAGTGGATCAGTTCTCCACTTTGTTTATGTTTTTCTTTATCAACTAGTCAAATTAATGTTTTCGCTCAATGCATTGCAATGCGGATGATTCAGTATTCGGTCATAACTATGGCCAAACAGAATCTGCGGACGTTTTTTGCTATTTCTGTTAAAGTTTTGTAATAAAGCTGCGGACGCAGAATTATTTTGGGTGTATCGTAACTAAAAACTTAATATAGGAAATAAAAAATAATACCTTATAAACTTTTATTTAATATTTACAATGCAAATCCAATTAGATCCATTTATTTAGTAAATCAAGCAATGTTATATATTAACTAAAAGACAAAAAAAAGACTGTAATAACTGTATTGTATATCAATCAAATGAACATTTTCATATAGTTAATAATATTACTGAAATTTATTTAAAACTACAGAAATATAAATTTACACACAAGTAAATAAATCAACTCAATGATGCGCTAAAAATGTGGAAATCTGCGGAATCTGCGCGTGCTGAATGACGTAACTTGTTGCATATGTAAAGTCTTGAGCAGGTGAACACAATGGCCACATATAGGTGTGTTTAAGTGCTCACTCGACCATGAAATCCTGGTCTCTCACTTTTTTCTTAAATTCCCGAACTTGTATTATACACTTTTATGATTTATATTTGCGAATTTGTTCTGAATGCCCCTGTTGATCACTGGTGAAATGAAATGCTGCGTTCATACTGTATATCTGACTGCTTGAACTAAAAGACAATGCTGTATTCATATGAATTCATCAATCGTGATACAGAACTGAACTGACAGCATGTTAATCATTACTAAACTGCGAGACCACACTGTAAACAAATAAACGTAAATTAGCATTTTACATATTTTGTGATTCATGTTTTCCCCCGTTTATTTCTGCTCGTGAATTTCTGCAGGTTTGATTGAAAACAATCAGGTTTGAAACTAGTCAAGGGAAGAGTTAATTCTTTTTGAGTGAGCTGCTGCTTGGCCTTGTGTTTGTGTGGCTTATTACGAGTTTGTTTTATTTGAGAGTGTTTTGAGCTTATGTTTTGTACAATTATATTTAATTGAAACTGTCATTTTCATCACTCGTCATCTTTGTGAGTGAGTAATGTAGGATCGGTTGACACTTTGGCTGGCATTTTATTTTTGGTATTTACATTTTTTCAGGAATTGCTGTCTTTTCCTTTAGGTTTATTAAAAGTGCTAACAATATGAGACGATGTCTGAATTTGACTCCTAATATAACATTTTAATGTGTGTTAAGCTTCAGTTTATCAACGTTAGAGCGCCACCCTCAGGCTGAATAAGACAAGAGATCTGCTCTGCTTTTCTTTCTGAGACTTTTCTCTTGTTTCTAGAGCAATTATATTACGATTCTTAAATCAAGAAGTGTTTTCTAGACATGCTTAACATGTTGTCTTGTTTTAACAAATAATATATTTTTCCTTGAAACAAGCTAAATTTTGACCAACACCTGTAGGAGGTCGCGCATTACTCCTGTACTAAGGGCACTTCACTGGCTTCCTATTAATTATAAGATTCTGCGCTGCAAGAAATTATTTCCTTACTTAAATCTTTTGTCTTGTTTTTAGTTCAAATATCTAAAAAGTCTATATCAAGAAGCATTTTCTAGATAAGCAAAACACTGTCTTGTTTTCAGAAATAATATGCCAATATTAAGTGAGTTTTTCCTTAAAACAAGCAAAATAATCTGCCAATGGGGTGAGCAAATTAATCTTGTTTTTCCTTTTGACGTAAGACTATTTGTCTTACCCCATTGGCAGATTATTTCGCTTGTTTTAAGGGAAAACTCACTTCATTTTGGCATATTGTTTTTTAATTTTTTATAATTAGAGGTTTTCACCTTTATTGGATATGACAGTAGAGAGAATTGACAGGAAAGCATGGGGAGCAGAGAGAGGGGAAGGATCGGCATAGGACCGCGAGGCGGAATTGAACTCGGGTTGCAGTAAGCACCGGAGTGCATGTGTCAATGCATTATCCACTACACCACTGGCACCGACGGCATATTGTTTCTTTAAAGAAGATGCTATGTTTTGCTTCAAGAATGTTTAGATTTTTGGAATAGAAACAAGACCAAAAGTTAAAAGTAAGAAAGGCATTTTTTGCAGTGTGGTCATTACATAAAGAGCTCTGCATGGTCAAGTACTCCTACATATCCAAGATCTTTTAAGTAGTCACTCATCACAGAAATCATCTTAAGGCTAAAGGTGTCCGTGCCTTCTGTGTTATGAGCCCAAGGCTCTGCAGCTTTCTTCCTATAGGGGAATTACCAACCAACGTCACACATGACTAGGCCCACACGGTGTCTGCGTGCGCAGAATTCTGCAGATTTTTAGCCCATTATTAATTCTGTTTATTTACTTGAGTAAATGTGTGTAAATCTGAATTTATTCAGTTTTTATTCAGTAATTTAGTTATTTTTATTTAATATATTAAGGTTTTAGTTATGATACTCCGCTGGATACTCCAAAATAATTTCGCAGAAATCTGCAGATTTTTACCAAAATTCTCTGTAGAAATAGCAAAAAAAGTCTGCAGATTCTGTCTGGCCCTGCACATGACGTCACACGAGTCTAACCGTGCATACAGGTTGCCAAAAAAAGACCGGTTGCATTAGCAAACATGTCATGTTGTACGGTAGAATGCCAAAATCAAAAGTCCAAAAATAGAAAATTTAACTTTTACAATACACCAAAATGCTTTTCTTACTTAGATTTTTTTCTTGTTTCTAGTCCAAATATCTAAAAGTTCTTAAATCAAGAAGCATTTTATAAACAAGCAAAACATTTGGTCTTGTTTTAAGAAATAATATGCCAAAATAAGGTGAGTTTTTGCTTAAATCAAGCTAAATAATCTGCCAATGGGGAAAGCAAAATAATCTTATCACAAATCGAAAAACAAGATTATTTTGCTAAACCACATTGGCACGTGTGCTATGATGAGTGAAAAGCTTAGGTGCTGGCTTGGGCTCTAGACAGTACAAAAAACAACAGCGTATACAACAGCGTACTCCCTAAAATAAATAAATAAATGAATAAAAAATAAACAAGACAATGTAAGATTGACAGCGATATGTA